TACACAGGGTGCAGGGGTTCACATCTGTAACCCCACCACTCAGGAGGCTGAGGCAGGAGGATCACAGTGACTCTGAGGCCAATCTTGCTTACACACTGAGTTGGATGCACTCAGCTTGGACTGTGTCATTACAAGTATGACTTTCTCAACACCTCCCCTGTCCTTCAAAAGGATTAACCACTGCTGCACTGTCTTCCAGGATGACAGTCAGGAGGAATGTGAACACTTCATAAATTCACAGGGACTGACGCATCTATTTCTGTGGTTTAAAATGCATGTTTTACAGTGGGAGCATCTGGGAAATCAGGGCATCTCTTAGGCCCAGGACGTCTCAGAGTCAGAGAAATACAGTTTCGGAAATGCAAATTCAAGCACCTATCAAACGGGCAGAGAACTGATTCCTGATCGATAGCACCCCGAGCTGGCAGGGTGTGGGGAGACAGCCTGGGAGGAATCGATTAAAATGGAAAGCACAAACACCCTTGGCCTTTCCTAGGAACTGACCCTGATGCCCATGGCACTCAGGAGCAAAGCCAAGATCCTTGCTGTACTGGAATATAGTTTGTAGTCCCTGAGCCTGAAAATGATCTCATCCCATGACCAGTGGGTGGGTCTGAAGAATGAAGGTGGTTATGGGAAAATGGCTGGGTTCAGAAAGTGCTTGCTGTGCAAACACCAGGACCGGAGTGAGGGTGATGATCTCCAGTAGGCACACACAAAGCCAGCATCCCTGTAATTCCAGCATTGGGGGGACCCAGAAAGAAGCACTCCTGGGTCCTGAACAGTCTGTAAGAGATCTAGTCTCAAAAAAATAAGGTGGGCAGAAAGGAAGAAACCTGACATTGACCTCTGGCACACACACATGCACTTGTGTATGGACCTGCACACACACACACACACACACACACACACACACACACCTTCGCTACATATACAGGTGGCAGCACATTCTACAATCCCCACACTTGAAAAGCAGATAAATGAGGACTGTTCTAAATTCAAGTCCAGCCAGGACTACAAGAAAACTCTCACAAACAAGACTAGTTCGTTCTCCACCCTCTCCACCCATACTTTTTTATATGTGTGGGTGTTTGCCTACATGTATGTCTATGAACCTCGTGCATGCAGTACCTGAGGAGGCCAGAAGAGGGCGCAGGATCAGTGCTGACACAGGGCAGAGGAGATTCCCTGGGACTGGAGTTACAGAGAATTGAGCTGCCCTGTGGGTGCTCGGCATCAAAGCCAGGGCTTCTGGAAGAGCAGCCAGTGCTTTTAACTGCTGAGCCATCTCCCAGCTCCCAAGATTGGTTCATTTTAAAATTGGAATATTACATACACAGCTCTAAATAGAACTAAGGAATCTTTTTTTTTCTTTTTTCTTTTTTTTTTATTGGATGTTTTATTTACATTTCCTATGTTGTCCCCTTACCCCATCCCCCACCCACCCTAGAACTAAGGAATCTTTTGATCCTCAAACATAATCTTCTCATGCTGGGCAGTGGTGGCCCACGCCTTTAATCTCAGCACTTGGGAGGCAGAGGCAGGTGGATTTCTGAGTTCGAGGCCAGCCTGGTCTACAAAGTGAGTTCCAGGACAGCCAGGACTATACAGAGAAACCCTGTCTCCAAAAATCAAAAAAACTAAACAAAACAAAAAACAAAACAACAACAACAACAACAAAAAACCCATAATCTTCTCTAAAAGAGAAAAAAATCTTTTCTCTGTGAGAAAAGGGAAGGTAGAGAGCCCCCAGTTGTTCATTTGTGATGTCTTTTTAGAGAGGGGGGAAATAGGGGGCAGGCAGGCGGACTCCTGTGTTCATACATCAGACATCACAGTCTTATCAAAGTGATAGCCCTTGAGGAGCTACCCTTTCAGAGGACCAAAGGTCGCCCCTGAAGCACCCCACCCCCACCATGGCCCGATGTGGTGGTGTACACCTTTAATCCCAGCATCCTGCAGAATCAAGCAGATTTCTCTAAGTTCGAGGCCAGCCTGGCCTGCAGAGTGGAACCTATTTCAAAACAACAACAACAACAACAATCACACAAACACACACACACAAACACACACACACACACACACACACACACACAGGAGCATGTCGTATGTGCCTTGAGAAAATGGATGCTTGGGAAACTGAAATCTCAGGCTGCATCCGGCCTTCAGGCCTCTTCTACAAAGAGTACTCTGTACAGGGTAGCTTAGGCGTTGCAGGGTATCTGGTCTTTGCTGCACACACACACCCACTGGAAGCTGGGAGGAAATGAATGGCTGAAATGGACCACAGCTGCACTTTACAGTGACACTGAACACTCTGTGTTGTGAAACACACCAGATTCTTGCCTGCTGTCATTTAGAGAATGCTCCTGAGCCTCTGAAAACCTGGTGGACTGGATGGGACCCTGCTAGTCTCCCTACCCACGGCTCATGGTCTGCCCGGGAGGTTTGGGTTTCCTTTGAGGTGGCGGGAGTTACAGGTGGGAAGAGGCACATACCTAGATCCCCTCAAAAGAGGCGGGCACGGACGACGCCTGACCTAAGTCCTCTCTAAACCCGTGCTTGCCGTGTACGCCACTGACCCGGCTCTGTCACCAGATGGCAGCACAAGCCGCCTAAACCCTGGCTCCCTCCGCCCGCCTCCTGGGCACCCACTCTAGAAACGCCCTTATTTCCAGGCCTCTTTTTACTTGTGAGGCACTTGTTGAAGTACCAACCAGGGTGGCCTTGAACTCCTTCTGTCTTGGTCTCAGAATAGCTAGAGTCATAGGCCCTTGCCTCCAGGCCTGGCCTCATCTCCTATTCCCTAATGGACTGATGAATGCCAATGCTGAATGCTAACCCTGGTTCCTTCACTGGTCTTGGCTGTGGTGGCCAGTGTTGGCTAACCTTAGGGACCATAAGTGCTGGGTCATGTTTGACCAATAAATGCTACAGACTCAGCAGTTACGAGCAGTCATCACTAGGACCAGAATCGACACGCGGCTCCTGTTAATAAGCTGGGTGTCCCATGAGTGCCATTAGCCCCAGGTCTGAGAGAGGGAAGACACAAGATGGTTGTGGCCTACCAGGAAACATCCCAGACAAGAAAACCAGCTTCAAATTCAGGAAAATACCCCACCTCAAAGGACTCGGTGGACTCTTAGCGCCCTCTCCTGGCCTATAGGTGCACCTTCTTCTGTGTGTGCGCATTCACTCTCACAGGCACCTATTTTAAATGTTTTCCAGATTATTGTCATTTTGTGTCCTCACCAACCGCCCCCTCCTCCTTTGTTAATATTGCAGAAATTAGCCTAGGGGTGTTTTTTCTTTTCTTCAAGACAGGGTTTCTCTGTGTAGCCCTGGCTGTCCTGGAACTCACTCTGTAGACCAGGCTGGCCTCAAACTCAGAAATCCGCCTGCCTCTGCCTCCCAAGAGCTGGGATTAAAGATGTGTGCCACCACTGCTCGGCTGTTTATTTCTTAATGAGGACAGTTTCTTCTTTTTTTGTTTTTTGTTTTTTTTTTTTGAGACAGGGTTTCTCTGTGTAGCCCTGGCTGTCCTGTAACTCACTCTGTAGACCAGGTTAGCCTTGAACTCTCAAACTCAGAAATCAGCCTGCCTCTGCCTCCCAAGTGCTGGGATTAAAGGTGTGCGCCACCACCGCCCGGTGAGGACAGGTTCTTATATAGGCCAGGTTGGCTTCAAATTTGCTACGCAGCCAAAGATGATCTTGAACCTCTATAATCTTCCTACCTTCACCTCCTAAATGCTGGGATTACAAGCTTGAATCACCACGCCTGGAGCCACAGAACACCCTGACTAGAGCCGCACCAGAATATATGTTAACTACTAAATTCTGGTACCTTGGAAGTGCTTGTTCAAAAAATAAACTTTTGAACTGTTCATCAGATGGCATGCGGCTTCGAGACAGCTGAGCTCTCCTCAACCCCCCCCCCCCCTCCCCCCCCACCCCCCGTGCTGGAGAGTCTTGCTGATCACCCAAGCATCTAACCTTTGTACATGCTGTCCCATGAAAAGACCTATTCTGTTCAACCCAGGCTGCCTCTGTCCTCTCCTCCAGCTCCCTGCTCAAATGGCCTCCTGTCCCAGCAGCGTCTGTCCTGCTTCTCCAAGGCTGCTTCTTTAGTAGCTTTTCACAGATAACCTCGTGAAACTGCTCTGTGAGCTGGGCATGGTAGGACATGCTTTGATACCAGCTCGAGAGGCAGAGGCAGAGGCAGGTGGATCTCAGTAGTTCGAGGCCAGCCTGGTCTACAGAGCAAGTTCCAGGACAGCCAGGGCTATATACTGAGACCCTTGCCTCTTGAAAGAACAAAAAATTAAAACAAAAAATTATAATAAAGAAACTACAGGTTTTTGTTGTTGGTGGGTTTTTTTTTTTTTTGGTATTTATTGTGTTTTTTCCTAGATCAGCTAACACAGTCAGTCAGGTGGTCTGGGTCCAGGCCAGAGCCATGACACACATCAGATGCCAGTGACCCCTCAAGGAATTCTGGGACAGGCCAACCAGCACTGCTCTAGCACAATCTAGGTGAAAGGTCTTGTGAATGGTGGCACACACCTGTGATCCCGGCACTTGGGCGGGTACAGGGATCAGGAATTCATGGTTAAGCGTTGGTTATATAACCAACCACTTTGAGTCTATGATACATTGCCTTACCCCCCACCCCCCCAAAAAAAACAAAAATTCAGGACTGGAGAGATGGCGCCCTGGTTAAGAGCACTTAAGAGGACCTGGATTTTGCCCAGCACCCACAGCGTCTCAGTCATCAGTAACTTCAGATCCAGGATTCCAATGCTCTCCTGTGACCTCTGTGGGCACCAGGCACACATATGGTACACATACACACATGGGCAAGACATAAAATACATACATCTAGACAGTCTCACTTCTGTCAGGGGATAAAGCCCCCCCTCCACCTCCCTCAGGTCAGGGCTATCTCCGTCCATGCAGCCATCCGGAAACACCACACAGCAACCAGAGTTAAGGAGATGCTTCCTTTGTTATAAATATATTATATACATCCAAAACATGACATTAAAATATTACTCCATGTTACAGAAAGATATTAAGGCTTTCCATTATTTACATTGACAAGCAAGCACCTTAAAAAAAATCCAAATAAAAAAGCCTTATTCTTCCTCCTCTGACACTCCGGTCAGAAGGGACACAGTGTCCCCTCCCCAAATGACCAAGCCCTTCATAAGAGCTGTGCCCATGAAGATGTCTCCACAGGGAGACCTCAGATGTGGCTGGACACATGGACAGAAGAACTAGGGGAAGGGAAAGAGTATCTGCATATGGGCAGGACATTCTGGCCTCTCCTTGCCATCTGCCCTCTGACCCATACCCAGCTCTGCCTCCCTTGGGTGGCAGCTGGGGTGGCCCACCCACCTAGGCCTCTGGGGTCGAATTGCAGGGCTGACGGAGGATCATGATCCAGGGACATTTACGTGTTCTGGGGGCTCTCTGGGTCACTGAGACAGACCACGTGTGTCAGTGACCCTACACCGGCCAGGGAGCAGGCGTGCAGAGCAGATGCACGGGATGGGGCTGGCCAGCAGGACCGGGCTCCCCTCTGCAGTCAGGCTTGGCCTTGGAGCAGCTCAGTGGCCAGAAAGGCCCAAGGAAAGAAAAGAAGAGGAAATGAAAACTCGGTGGCTCAAGTATTCTGTGTCACTGGGGGTGGGCTAGGGGTGCCCGGGCCCAGCCCAGGGGACTTCTCTTCACTGGAGGAGTAGCTCAGAGACGCCGGGATTTGGCAGATGGCTTCAGTTCAGGTTCAGGAAGGTTGGCAACCAAGAGTCCAGACATGCTACTTGATCTTCTGGGCCCACTTCATGTCGTCCGCCCTCGGCTTCTCCCCTGTCAGGCCTTGGATGATGTCCTCCAGGCGCCGCCAGAAGCCTATCACCTCTAGGGGGTAGTTGAGCCAGCCTGCAGCAGACACAGTCAAGGGGCTAGTGAGAAGAGCCAGTCTGCTTGGGGATGGGGAGAGGTAGGAGGTGGGTCTATGGAGAAGGGGCTGCTGGGAGACTGCTGGTAAGGGTGGGCACAGCAGTGCCCCATCCCTGGCTGTGGCCAGATCCTCTGTTTCTCCCAAAGGGAGATGTCACCAACTACCAGAAGGTGGGGCCCAGAGAGAGACCTCCCTCACGTGGGGCTTGGGTCCCTCCCTCGGCCTCCCCAAATCAGTAGGATTTTTTTTCTTTTTCTTTTTCTGTTTTTTTTGAGACAAGGTTCTCTGTGTAGACTTGGCCGTCCTGGAACTCACTCTGTGGACCAGGCTGACTTCAAACACAGAGATCCGCCTGCCTCTGTGCTGGGACTAAAGGTGTGTGCCATTCCACCTGGCAATTACAAGGCATTCTGTCTGTTTTATTCACTTAGACTCTAAGTCCAGGGCAGTAAACTGTTGGCTGAGTGAGTGTCTGGAGTCATAAGAGCTTGAGATAGAGAAGGGGCTTTGTGTTCATGTCCTGACCTAGAAGAATGCTTGCACACAGCAGCAGCTCAGTGAAGGTGTGTTCTGAGAACACTGGGCAGGCCAAGACTATATCCCCTCCCACCCTCCTGACCCTGGGGATGGCACCACCCACCTGTGGTGATACAGAAGTATGTTTCATGGGGCGCCACGTGGTGGATGCGATGGTGTTTCCTTGGCAGGATCACGTGCCAGTCCTGCAGGACGGTGACCCAGCATGGCAGCCCTAAGTACGTGTGCGACCATTTGTGGATCTGGTTGGTGAAGGTGCCAAAGATAATCAGGCAGAAGACGAAGCATTCCCAGGGGTAGAGCTGCTCCAGGGTCTCTGCAGGGCAAGGGCAAGGGCATGAGACCTTTGCAGCTGCCCCACTGGCCGGCCAGCTCCTGTGCCGGGAGCACCCAGGTCCCCCTCAGCTGCTACCATCAAATCTTCAGATTTAGGAGCAGCCAGGGATTGGCTAAGTATGTGGGCTCTACAGCCAACTGGGGCTGGGTTCTGATTCCTGCTGACATTTGTGGGTTGTTTGGGCAGGGACTCTGGGTCAGGTTCTCTGAAGCAGGGCTTGAGGACACTCATGTACTCGGGAGTGTCCCTTGATGGAAGACATCTACAGAGCAAGGGCTTCAGGCTCTGTGGGGCGCTGTGGGTTTCTAGGGTGCAGCAGCTCCGCAAGGTTCACCTTGGAAGAAAGCAAAGCCATGGGCCCTCGGAGGCCTTCATTTGCTGGCTTCTGGCTCACGGGATGGGGAGAGGTAGGAGGTGGGTCTATGGAGAAGGGGCTGCTGGGAGACTGCTGGTAAGGGTGGGCACAGCAGTGCCCCATCCCTGGCTGTGGCCAGATCCTCTGTTTCTCCCAAAGGGAGATGTCACCAACTACCAGAAGTTCTGGCTTTGCCTTACCTGATGCCCAGCGGTGGACCGGAGAGCTGCGCAATTAGGAAATGGGCAATGTGGGCCCCAGCTCACAGTCCATATTTTGTTTTTGTTTTTTTTTTTCTCTAGTGCTGGGATCAAACCCAGGGTATGGGCACAGCAGGCCAGCTCTCGGCTACTAGGTCCCACCCAAGTCTTCGTAGTGTGTCTTTTCTTTAAATAAGAAAGAACAAGGGCTGGGCTATGACTCACAGGGTGCCTGTCAAATGAGCAGCTCCGTGAAGGATGTGGGAAAGGCCCTGGGGGCCACATTACCAGAGAATGCTCTGAGAAGTCAGAAATTCGGTTTTAGGCTAAATGCCCAACTTTTACATGCACCCTACTAATGGAGAATACTTTAAATGTCATGTGACACCCACGCATACCCTGGGAGCCTCCCGAGGGCCTCTGTCCCTGACGCACACTGAGGAGCCCCAGCTGCAGGTCTCACCTGGGCTCTGGGTCTGGAACTTGTAGGCCATGTTCAGCAGTGGCAGCAGCGTCACCAGGCAGTTGTCACCATTGGTCTCGATGAAGTCGTGCCGTGTGATAGCTGTAGGGTCAATGTGGTGCTCCCGGAACGGCCGGATGAAGGCCTGGGAGGGCAGGGGACAGGTGTAGCCTCCCAGTTAGCTGATGGCAGTTGTGCCCTCCAGCTCCTGCTCCTGGAGCTTCCCAACCTCTACCCCGTCACCGACACAGACCCTGCCTGGGGCGGTCTGGCAGGCTTCCATGAAAGATGGCTTCAAAACACTGATGATATCTTTCTCAATCCTTCCTCAGTTTCCTCAACCATACTGGGAGAGCCTTAGAGACAACTTCCACCCTGAAGCAGGTGAAGAGGCCCCACAAAAACAAATGGGGTTCTGTCTGTCTGGCCTTTAAGCTCCTGCTTCTGGGAGCAGCCTCCAGGCTCTCAATTCATGTTGCTAAGTGGAGCCTGCCTCAGGTGAGCACAGACCCAGGAAGGGCTAACCAGAGCCCATCCATCTCCCTGGCAGGGATTATGGGCAGTGTGATACCAGCTGGACCGATGGGATGAGGTGCTGAGTTTGGCTGCCACTAGGGGAAAGAATTCTCTAGGCAGCCAGGAGTGGAAGCCTGAACTCAGCAGGAGAAAGCAGAAACCAGAGACTGAGAGCCCATTCTGAAAAGGTGGTTACCCTGGCTCAGCGAGGCTTTAACTTAGCAATGACTGAGTTGGAATCCTTGCCTGATGAAACCAGTCTGGATTCAATTTTCTGTATAACCCAAAAGCCTCACTGACAGCTGATAGGCAAACACAGGACTGGCTCTGACTCGAGGCAGGATTCCAGAAGGCTCTCTGACCCACCTTCCTGTGCTATTACCAACCACCGGGATCCCCAGTCCAGTCTCTGAAACACAGCATTGCGTGTGGGTAGCTGAGGCTCTGAGGGGTTAGAGGACTAACCCTGGGACAGTCCCACAGCCTGGCCTACGCACCTTCCCGACAATGGGCAGATCCACAGAGCCCCACGTGTCAGCACCCCAATGTACCAGGCCGGACAGGAAGTCAGCGACGAGAGCCCCTGCAACTGTGGGCGACAAGAGAGTGAGGCAGGGCAGGGCATGCAGAGACGTCCCCCTCCCTCCCGTCAGGGGCCGCCCCTCCAATCTTGCTTGTTTACTTGTTTGCTCATTCATTACGAAGCACCCGGGTCCCTGCCCAGTGGACAGAGTCTCCACGTAACATCTCTAGCTCTGGTCTGCACAGAGCAGATTCACCCACTATGGCGATTATGGGGGCATAATCGCCTTTCTGGACTAGGTGTTAAAAAGGACTCAGCTCAGCTGCCTAGAATCCCAGCACCCGGGAGGCTGAGGCAGGAGGATCCAGAGTTTGAAGCTAGCCTGGGCTACAGCAAACATAAGCAGTTCCTCACTTGCAATTACATCTCCATCCCACCTACCCCTCCTGGCTTTTATCTTGGACTCAGTCCTTTGAGCTTTCCCTTTGTTTGCTTTCAATCTGCTCAGAACTAGCCTGGGGTACCCCCCCCCCCCACCAGTCACCACAGGTCTTAGGTCTGGACCAGAAGTATTCCCACCTCTATCATTCATGAGCTGTGTGACATCATGCGTGCTACTTAACATCTCTGTGTCCCATTTTCTTCTTGTTGGGCAGGGGTGGTAAAGATGTAAAAGACCGCAGTGCTGTCTCACACGCTTGGCCTGTGGCCTCGGTCACTTCCTTATCTCTGTTAGCAGCATTTAGCTTACAGAGGTGACCTGCAGGCTGGGGGAGAGGTACTGAGCCCAAGTCAACCGCACGGCAGTGGCACAGCTGGCACAGCTGGATCCACGTATGCATGGGCAAACTGAGGCAGAGTGAGCAGCAGTGTCCCCTCCCCTCCCCTCATTGTTCCTCTCGGCCTGGAACATCCTCCCTTTCCGGGATGCAGTTCCCAGGCTGCTTAGAGTCCTTCCTGGCTCCGTGCCCTTCCTAAGACCTGAGTCACCCGGGGTATCTGAGCGCGTCCTCTCACTCCTGTCACTTTCCTCGAGCATACCTGTCTTTTGCAGTTTTACCGTCAGCTCTGGGCTTGGCACTGTGGGCTCTGGTTTAGGGCTGGACCTTGGTTCTTTGACATCAATGGGCTCAGTGTCCCCTGAGGTAGTGATTGGCACACAGTAGGCCCTCAGAGCTGACCCCATGAGGGTAGCTGGGCATGAGGATCTGTGCAGGCCTCTGCCCTCTGCTCCCCTCCCCTGCAGTTTCTCACTGTAAACTGGTTGTCTGAGGCCCAGGTTCTGAATTGCCATGGTGCCCCCTGCCCCCTTAGGACTCACACTGATAGAGGACCAAGACCTTGGGGTGCCATGAGGACTGTGAGTGAGAACCTCTGGATGACTCCCTAGAGAGTGAGACTATAAGCCAGGTGCCGGGAGAAAGGATGCAGGGTACTGTGGGAATGGAATTCTAGTGTCCAATCTGTTTAAAGGCAGCTGCAAAGGGTAGGTTTTTAGAAGCCAGTGGCACCTGTCCATCCACCATCCCTCCACCTACCCAGCATGCATCCATCCACCTCCCACCTAATATCCACGCACTGTCTATCCATTCATCCCTCCAAGCACAGGCGGTGGGGCAGAGCAGCGGGTGGGAGGCCGGGGACACATGGAGAAGGCCGGGGACAGGAGGGCTCTACTGCCTAGCGCTGGGCAGTCCTGTTGCTCAGTGAAGACAGTGCCAGGAAGAGGACTTGCTGTTCTCTGACACCCCAGCAGGTCTAGGGCATCAGTGAAGTACCCATTGTATACTGTGAATGGTGTAGACTCATTGCTTCTAATCTAAGCAAGGGAGGGTTGGGGCCCTGTCTCTAACTAACCACACTGCTACTCCTCTTGCCTCATTTGGACTCAGCATCCTTCCAGAGGTCTGTCTCAGTATCACTGGTCAATGACAGATTTAAACACTACCATCCTGACCAACGGTTATGGGGAACACTGGATGCCTGCGGTAGAGCACTGCTGGGAACCCAAGTCTAGGCTTCTTGTCCTGAAAGTTGGGCTCAGGGTGTGGATGAGACAATTTCTTCCCTCCCCAGGTATAGGTAGAGTCTGGTTAGAACTGTACCTAACCTACACATACCTGGTGTGCAGGTTTATGTGGCTCAAGGCTGTACCTCTGACCATCCAAGGTCACCACTCGGCTTCTTCTCCGTGTGGAATCGAGGGGGCCGGCAAACCTTCTATACAGAACTAGCCGTGAAGGCTGTCAGTCTCTGTTGCTATGGCTCAACCCTGCCAACATCACAGGGTGACCACAGGCAATGTGTCTGTCAGCACAAGGGGCGTGGGGTGACGGGATGGTATTGTTGTAATACCTTGTTTGGAAGTATTTTGGGGTTGGCTTGCTTCACTGGGCTAGCTCTTCTGGAGTCACTCCTGTCATCTGTGTTGGCCACTTCCCTTTTTGCTGCTGAGTGCTGTGTCATCCGAGTCCTGTGTAATGCATCATCTGGTGCAGCGCACACAGCCAGCCTCACTAGACCTTTCCTGAGCCCTAGCTGCATTGCTTATTCATGGAGAAGCTTGTGTACTCACACATTCCCCCGACCATTGGGCTTCGGACAGCAGAGACCTTGTGTTTTTGAGACAGATTCATGCAGCCCTGGCTGGCCCTGAACTTCTCTGATCCTCCCGTTTCAGCCTGTCAAGTATGAGGGTGACAGGTGTGCAAACACACCCTGGCAGACAGTGACTAGGGTTCCTCTAGGCTCGCTAGATGCTGAGCTCTGGCTGAATACGAAGCTCGAAGCTCTGGCTAGGCTAGCAAGCCAGCTTGCCCTGGGGGTCCTGTCTCCACCCGCTAAGGGCTGGGATTACAGGCAGGCTGCTATATACATTTGGTTTTCCTCTGTATGGGCCCTGGGATGCAAACTCTGCTCTGCCCACTTATACAGCAAGCATTTTATCCACTGAGCTATCTATCCAGCCCCAACGCTGACACTGTATTTATTATTTATTTATTTATTTTGAGGTAACCTTGGCTAGCCTGGAACTTGCTATGTGGACCAAGCTAGCTTCAAACTCAGAGCTCGCCCTCTTCTGCTTCCCGAGTCCTGGGATTAAGGGCGCTAACTACTATGCCCGACTTTTGTTTGACACCATAAAAAATCCCCCCCCTTTTTTTTCATTTTTGTGGTGGACACTTTTGCTTTTAAACCAGAGTGCACTGGGCTTCAGTGCGTCGACTTTGTTAGCCCTTGTGGACAAAGGCCAGGTTTGTGTGGTTAAGCTCCTTCCCCTTAACTGGCCTGGGCAGTTAATCCTCTGTGATCAGAACACAGCAGAACAGCATTAGAAAGCCAAGCCAGGGTGGCCTTTGGGAGCCTCTCTCCTGTACCCGGCACTGTCGAGGGCATTAGGGAAGTGCACTGTGCAGGCCTCATTCTTCAGTTCAATTGAGGCTGTGAGACTGTCTCAAAAAGGGGCGTGGGGGGAATAACATGGGAAATAACCCAGAAGGTACTCCCTGGTCCAGGGCAAAGTGACCTCACTCACGGTGGCAAGCTGCACTGCCCTGACCTGATACTAAGGTGAACTAGGAGAGTGTTGCCATCCCAGACTCCGAGGGATCCTAATCATTCTAACCAGTGTTTCCAAGTCAGCCAAGATGGTGGTGCGGAGTCAGAGGGAGAGCGCCTGCCTGGTATGTGTATGGGTCTGAGTTCGTCCCCAGCCTTCAGGAGGCTGAGAAATGGCCACAGACCAGTAATTGTCAATTAAATGAAAGGCAAGCAATCAACGGTAGAGCATAGTGTAAAGTGGCCACTGGGTGCTAACTGGCACAAGTGCAGGGCTTCAACGTCTGCTTCCTTCCACCATTCCTTACCCAGAACTGGCCTAAAAGCGACAGCAGGGACAATAATCTCTCACACAAAGCCCTGGGTTCCCTGGGTTTGACCCCAACCCTGCAGAAACAGCTACCAAGTAAACCCAGCACTCTGAAGGAGAAGCAGGAAGAGCAGGAGATCGGGATCATCAGAGAACCCTCAACACGAACAGTGTAATCTCCCTCCATTTCCAGTGACAGACCACATCACACCTGACCTGCCCAGAGGCCTCAGACCTGCTGAAGCAGGCAGAGAAGGACTGTCCAAGGTCACCGTGGGGGTGGGGGCAAGAGGACCACTGTCAGCCTCGCATCCAGGTCTGGGCAATGAGCGTCATGGAGGATGCCTGTCCCTTAACTAGCAGAAGCCGGCCAAACAAGTACGAGGGTGCAGGCTGGGCTCTGGCACAAGCTCCCCAGTAGCAGCTGCCTGTAGCCCGAGCCTGGCATTCCTCTGTGAGCCTCAGTCTTGCCATCTGTTGGATGGCTGGCACCTAGTACTCACAGAGACATGCTCTGCACTGGAATCAGGAGTAATCTGGGTGACAGAGTGTCCTCTCCCACCACACGAGGAAACGGCTCTCAGTGCCCGCAGCCTGGTAGCTGTTTCTAGGGCACTCAGTTGCCTATGAGGCTCCTTTAGTGGGGGCAGGGTGCAGATACAGACGTCTCTTTGTTCCAGCCCTGGTGGTGGCTGGTGGCTGGGTCACCATCCTTCCCCGAAGACACTGGGAAGGGCACAAGGCTGACTCTATCCAGTGGCAGCAACATCGTGAAGGCTGCGTGGAGCTGAGAGACCAGCAGACTAGGTAGACAGACTCTGAGCATCCATGTGGTTCAGGCTTGTTAAATCCAGATGCCTCAGGCAGCGTGGCCTCTGGGCCTCAGTACTGATCCCTGCCCTCCTCAGTCTCCTAGCTGCTCCTTCAGGGACCCACGGCATGCTCTCCCCAAGAGAATGATCAGCCTATCGCTGATCATTGTCACGCTGTCCTTGTCACGGTCACCAGTGACCTTCAGAGCCAGGTCCCTTCGCTGCACCGTCAGGCTGACTCTGGTGGCGCCCTCTCTGAGGCCTGCTACCCTCTCAGCTTTTCCCAGTCCCCAGGCTGCACCCTGTGTTCACTCCTGCTGTCCAGGCTACTTCTGCACCAGCTCTTGGGCCAAATACTGATTTAATCCCTTACCTCACCCACCACTCACCCTACAATAGCCTGACTGTTCACACAGCTCAATTCCCCAGCTCCTCTGAGTTCAAAAAAACCCCTCAGCACCTGTTCCCTGGATCCTAGCACCAGAAACCATCTTCCCATGAGAAATTCACCAGTGACTCCCCACAAGATAAACTCAAGATAAACTCACTGTCCAGACCATGACCCCGAAGGTCCTCTCCCATTTGCCAATCCACTTCAGGGAGAGGCCATTAGATCTCTTTCCTTTGGTGCACCCGCTCACAGCAGCCTCAGGGCCTTTGCACTAGTAGTTCTGCCTCACATACGAGCCTCCACGGTATCTCCTCCCCTCAGGCTGTTAACAACCACAGCTTTATCTTGATCAGCAATCAGGCATTACATCACACAAGCCCGGCTTTACCAAGGCTTTACCAAGCGGAATCCTTTCGGTTTAAGCTCTGGTTTCCGGGGCTACCCCGGGGCATTGGGAACTGTTGAAGAGATAGAAACAAGCTGGCACAGTGCCCTCGGCAGCTACCTGCGTGTTAACAGACAAATCAGGGCGGCTATTTAAATCGATCGAGGGTTGTGTAAACACCACTATCAGGGGATTACCTGCCCTTATCAGTCCAGAAGCTGGGTGCCATAGGAGAGCTGGCTACCTCGGCTTCAAGGATGGGGCTGGGAGCTGCAGAAACCCAGGTCTCAGGCAGCGAAGGAAGGTGGTGACCTGCCTGTACGGCCCAAAGCTGGAACTACTACAGGGTGTCCTCCCACCCTTGGCCAGGGAGGGTGTGGCTAGAAAGCCCAGGGCCAGTAGGCAGAGGACAATGCTGGAATCTTGCTCTGGACAGTATTGCTGCCAGGGAGGTGGCCAACTCAGGGCACGACCTAACAGATACTTAGCAAGGTTACCTTCCCTCTTCTTCCTGATCACCAGCCCTCTCAGCATGGCTGGATCCTCCCGGCTTTCCTACAGCCCAGGAAACCACACTGCCATGGCCTCAACGACAGGACATATGCTGCAGCCAGCCCAGCCAAGGCTGCAGGGGCCCCCTAACTCTGGGCTACGTACTCCTGCGGGGGTTAGTGGACTCCTGCAGATGGGGGCTGGGCTCTCCATCACAAAGCAGGCTAAACTCCCCCTGGACTGCGAGACAGCTTGATTAGCAGGGTTGTACACTATTGGCTTAGGCACACAGAATGCTTTTAACGGGATTGAGAAGCAGAAGTAAAGCCACGGGGAGGACTAGAGAGGACCATGGTGCCACAGCCCCTTGGCCAGCCCGGGGGCTCAGGAGAGGAAGAGAACAAAGACCTGAGCCAGAGAACAATTGGCTGGACAGGAGGGAAACTGAGCCATGTGGAACTAGAACTGTAGCTGGGCATTCCGACCATATGTGCTTCAGGCTAAGGGGTCAGTCTCCTGCAGGTCCCTCCTCTCAGCCCCCAGTTCCTCATCAAGAGGTTCTCAGCCTGGCCAAGGGGAACCCCAGGACTTCCTAGTACACAGTACCCCACTCCATAAATTCCATCCAACTCACTGAATTCTCGGCACCTGACATGTACCAGGGCTCATGTCTGAGGCTGGAGATACAGAAATAAATAAATAAATAAATCTGACTCCGAGTTGTTGGAGACCCAGCAGCCTCAGGTCCATAGTGTGTGGCAGGGCTTGTCACTATGTAGCCCTGGCTGGCCCAGAGTTCACAGGAGATCTTTTTCTGTCTCCCAGGTATTGAGACTAAAGACTTGCACCCACCATACTCCACAGGGCTGTCTCTGAGGGGCCATCATGGAGGGCCTACCTAAGCAGGTGGCTGTCAGTAGATCTTGGGGATCGAAAGTGTGAAGTCCTGAGAAGGGCTACAGGCACAGTGAAGGGCTTGTACAAAGGCCCCCACGGGAAGGAGTAGGGGTGTGTGTGTGTTTGTGTGTGCGCATGGGCACATGTACACCGAGTTTGTGGCCAGTGCGGCTTAACAGCAACAAGGAGGGAAAGATGGAGTGGCCACTGGGTCAGGACACTAGGCAGGGCGGGGGGGGGGGGGGGGGGAAAACACCTACGGGTTCCGGTGGGGGGGCTGGGTTGGGGGTTGGGGTGCCTGAATTTCAGTGCTCCAAAAGAAGAATGTAAGGAACAGGAACTGGGGGTGATGTCACCATGTCACTTGACTGAATGCTCCAAGATAGCAGGTGCTGATGCAAGACCGCCCTGAGCACTCCTGTGCTCGCGTGCACAAAGGTGAATGAGCTCGAGAGGGGCCCTGGCACTCACCGACACCCAGGATGACGAGGGGTGTGTGTTCCCAGCGGGCCAGCAGCAGGAGGTGGACCAAGTTGTGGGCGATGAGGCTGAAGCACAGGATCACAGAACACCACTCCTGGAAGCGCTTGCCTGTGGGGAGGGGAGGGGTGGGCTGTGTGAGGCACAGACACAGCCTGAACGGTAGCAGTGGACTGTGCCAAGCAACCCCAACCGTTCATTTCACAGACAGCACCACTGGCTCAGAAAAAGGGCTTTTGCAAAAGCAAGACACTGAGCACATGTTGTGTGCCCATGAGGCTGGGCCTATAAGTGCTAATTCTTTGACAGACAGGTCCCAATACTGGTCTCTCTTCAGGCTTTCTGGAGACTTCTGTGGGAACTTAATGACACCCTTGTATTTTAACTGGTTTCCTGGTACCATCTGTTCCCAGATCATCAGAAGCGAGAGGCCTTTGATCTTCAACCTGGGGACATCCAGAGCCTGCCCAGCCTCCAGGTAGCAGGACACAAGCCATAAGCCTCAGGGTCAAGGAGAAATAGAGTGTTGGGGACACTAGGCCCTCCAGGATTGGCATCTGGATCCCTGCAGCCGGGCAGGAATGTGGTCTCCAGTAGGCTGCAGGTGACCAAGAAGATGCAGGATCTGAGGACTCCAGTATGAGAATTCCATTTTATGCAATCAGTTTAGAGAGTTTATTGGACAATCAGACCATTCCTTGTGGCATTGGCGGAGATGTCTAAATTCTGGACATCATCCAAGTGTCCGTGGCCCACGGATGAGCCAGAATCGTCCCAATGGCCTTCCTATGCTGCCCAGGTTCTGTGGAGGCAGAGAGTAACGTGCTGATGATAACATCAATAAAGAAAGGCTGGCGAGCTTGCTCAGCCGGGAACGGAGCTAGCCACTAAGTATGATCACCTAAGATCAGGCCCTGGGTCCCACACGGCCAGAGGGAACTGACTCCTAAAAGCAGTCCTCAACAACAACATGCGCTACACATAGACACACACACGCACACACATGCACACGATAAAAAAAGGCAAGTATGTATAAATATTTTTATAGAAAAGAAAACACTGAGGGACTGGGGTGTCAGGAGCTGAGCACTAGGTGGCTTAAGGCCCCGACACACAAAAACCTCTAAGGGAGCCAGCAAGATGGCTGGGCGGGGAAAGGCATGTGCTGCCAAGCCTGACGACCTCGGTTCAATCCCCGGGACCTACATAATGAAAGAGGAGAGCCAACTCCCACGAGCTCTCCTCTGACTTCCATAACACCATGCACAAATCCTCATCCACACTAAATGCACACACTCAACGGAAGGGAATGGCCAGAAGCTGAGCCTCTAGACCACCTGAGGCTGCCTGCCCTCCCCTTGATATAGCACACCAAGGCGTTTTCTTCTGGCAACTCATTTTTGATTTTTTTTTTTTTTTAAAGGAATAAACCACACACGAGTGGCAAGCCTTCTGCCCGTTTCCCAGGCAGCTGGTCCCAGAGGTCAGAGACCCTTCATGTGACAATGTGACTATCCCTGGTGCTCAACAATAACCAAGCAGTTACTGTTACCAGGCACCCAGAACCTGCTCAGAAGCAGAGGCTAAAGCAAAAAGGGAGACAGCCCAAGGCAGCTCGGCGTGCCAGGCACAGAGGGATGCTGTGGCCTCCTCTCAACCATCCCCCCGCCCTACTCCCACTGACCATGCTTGCCCCTTTCTCTCTACCACACTGCTGTCTGGTGAAGGCTCCAGATGGGGTTAATGAAGGCCCAAGCCAGGCCTGCTGCCCACCTGCCTTGCCCCTGAAGAAAGCTCCCCCTTATCTCCTGCTCTGAGATTCTCTGACACTCCGTCCTCCCCCCCCTCCCCAGGGCTATGGCCCCACCTGAATGTCAAGCACCCTTACCAGGCCCTGGCACTCAGTTGGTATTCAATCAATGCGTGGGGGGGTGAACACATCTAGTCACAAACCGTAACTGTGTCCTACACTCAGCACTACGTAGGGCGCAGACTAGACTCCACCTGCGCCTGTGCAGCAGCTGGCCCAAGTAAAGACTGACACTGGGAGAGGGGGCTCAAGGCTCATTCACCCCCACAGAAGAGGACATCAAGGCCAAGGAGGGGCGAGGTCTCCAGGTCACAGGAGCAGGCCCGGGCCTGAGGCTTCCAGTCCTTCCCTTCTCAGCTGGGCTGTTTCTGAGTCTTGTTTCGAGCCAGTCTGCCTACCTCTTCCGGTTCCTGCTTGTGGGTAGGGCGCAGGACTCAGAAGCAGGAAGCTTCCCCCACCCAGGGGGGGGGGGGGGGGACCCAGGTGGTTACTACACATAGGGATTAAGGGACAGAAGGTGGGCAAAGTCACAGCCAAGGGTTAAACTAAAACAATGACAGTAATGATGATAATGGCTAGTGCCCACGGATGGATGGACAGAGTCACAGCCAAGGCTCAGACTAAAATGATGATGATAATGGTGACATCAGCTGGTGCCCACCATGTGGGGATGAGGCTTGGCTGCAAATAGGACCCTCTGGTCAGGTTTGTTCTTTCTTTCTTTTTTTTTAAGATTTTATTTATTGGCCGGGCAGTGGTGGCGCACGCCTTTAATCCTAGCACTTGGGAGGCAGAGGCAGGTGGATTTCTGAGTTCGAGGTCTACAGAGTGAGTTCCAGGACAGCCCAGGCTGCACAGAGAAACCCTGTCTTGAAAAACCAAAATAAATAAATAAATAAATAAGATTTTATTTATTTTATATAGGTGAGTACACCATTGCTGTCTTCAGACACAACAGAACAAGGCATCAGATCCCACTACAGATGGTTGTGAGCCACCATGTGGTTGCTGGGAATTGAACTCAGGACCTCTGGAAGAGCAGTCAGTGCTCTTAGCCACTGAGCCATTTCTCCAGCCCATTGTTCTTATTTCTTGTTTTGTTTTTTTTGAGACAGGGTTTCTCTGTGTAGCCCTGGCTGTCCTGGAACTCACTCAGTAGACCAGGTTGGCCTTGAACTCAGAAATCCACCTGCCTCTGCCTCCCAAGTGCTGGGATTAAAGGTGTGCGACACCACTGCCCAGCCCATTGTTCTTATTTCTTAAAAACATGACCTAAACTTAAAACCACATACACTCCTAGTTCTTGTTAGCCCTGAAAACACAGGACTGTCCGCCACTGCAGGCAGGACAGTTAGCCACCATCTAAGGAGTCATGGGGTTTCAGGTTCACCAGTCCCCCAGCTGCTTTCAGGGCTGTCTTGCTAGCCTCTGAAATCCCGAGACCCAGACAAGGAAACTGAGGCAGAGTTGGATATGGGTTCTTGCCTGGAAACTGTAGGTCTATGCTGTCCTGGTGCCTGGGACATCCAGTTCTCACCTTGTTGGGCAGAATGGCTTTGAAATCTGAGTCTTTTCTAAACTTACCTCACTCTGGACCTGGGTGTGGCTGCAGATGGCTCTCATTTCTGACCCACAGAAAACATGCATGACATGCTAATACGCGGCCTGCACTTCACAACACCCTGAGAGCTAAGACAGTCCTCCCAATGCAAGGGAGAGGAAAAAACTGTCTAAGTCAGGCCCCAGGCCACCAACATGGCAAGCCCACGAAGTCACGGGACCTAAACAGAGCTAACTTTATAAATAGACAGACTAGGGAGGTAGGGGAGACAATCAAAGGGGTACTAAGAGTGTGTGTTGGGGTTACTTACTCAAGATTCAGGTGTCCTGGCCTCCACTTGAAGGCCAGGGTGCCTGTGTGGGACGAGTGTGGAGCCTGGCAAGGGAGCAAATCACCTACATCATAGGGCAAGCCTCTTCCTGCCCCAAACAACCTACACTTGTGCTGGCCTCTGGCCATCAGACCCTGTGTGCCACAGAGAGCAGACAAGAGGGACAGAGAGAATAGGACAGACTGAGGGGAATGCATGGACTAAAGAAGCAGAAACCAGGGAGATAAAAAGATGAGATCACAGGGAGAAAGATCAGCGAGAAAGTCAGACTAAGGTAGACACAGACAGAGCTCAGCCCAGCGCAGGGGACCAGGCCTGGCCAGGGACGAACCCCACAGTGGCTCCAAGCCCCTGTGTCATGGCTTCAGTCAGGTCCACTTTGGTCCAACTTCAGGCCTACACTACGTAAGGATACATACACCTTACAGCCGGGGCACCTATGAAGTGGCAGGTTGCAGCTGGATCCTCTGAGTGTCACCTTGCCCAAGGGAGATGGGAAGGAGGACCCACCAAACTCATGAGGCTCCTCTCAAGCTTGGCTTTCAGCTTACTGCTGAGAAAGGCAGACAGAGCAGGGCACCGAGGAAAACCTTCAGTGACTCTGATACCGCACAGAACTTAGCCCAATGCCAGGGTCACTGCCACCTCACCCCTGACCATCCTCTTCCATCCCACCCACTCTGGCCATCCTGCTTGGAGACACACGCACACACACACATACCCCAGGCCCTGTATCTGCCACCAACCCCACAAACAGGATAGACTGCTGTCCTAGAACTGGATAACTTCTACAGCCAGAGCAAAAGCTGGCAAACAAGAAACATGCCCTCACCATCTCAGTCCTGGTACTGTGGGTAGCTCCCACGGGAGCAGGGAGGGCTACCATCCCATGCTAAGCCTCCACAGACATGGACAGGGTGGTCCTGGGGTGCCACGGATTTCCTGAAAGCCAGATGTCAAAGATGCACAGCCTACCCTCGCCAGCCTTTCTGTGGCAGCGGCAGGGGCATAACTGTAAACAGGCCTGGTGTTTCAAGACATGGGAGCACGCAGGGAAATGCCTGCATACTCAGTAAATGGCATCTTTGTTAACTTACCGCTATCAGCTGTTAAATGCCAAACCACTGTCAGCCCCAGGAATCTCAAGACCTCGGTCCTGGGACTCAGGGAATTGTCTCTGCTCCAGCCCACAGGCTCCTCGTGCTCAGTGGAAGACTGTGCCAGGCACACTCCCACCTCAGGGCCTTTCTACTTGTTCTCTGGCCCTCACACACTCTCAAGGTCCCTTCGCTCCCACCCTCCCTCCCTTCAGCTCTGTGTTCAAATGCTGTCCTTTCAATAAAGCCTGATACAGGCTCTCTCCATGCCAAGCCCCTCCTCACGGTTTTCCTTTCCCTACATGGCATTTGCAACTCGACTGCCATTATTTGGGGGCTTGTTGCCTGTCCCCTAAACCAAAATGTCCGCTCAAGTCTTGCCTGTCTTCAGGGCTGAGAACAGGAACTGGAACAAATATACCATTAGGTGCTTAATATACGCAGGCCGGCTCCCTTATCCTTTTACAGGTCAGGCCAGGCACCTAAGACCACAAAGCTCAGGGGACACAGACAGGGAGACCCACTGAGAGGAACTTGGAGGAACCAGTTTGACTGGTCTTTCCCTCTCTGGGTTAGGAAAGAAGGCCCCAGGAGGCTGTCTGAAGCTGTGTGGCTATTCTTCAGGTACTGATCCTGAATCATAAAGGAGGGGTGAGAGGTGACATTTTTTCCCCAGGAGAAAGCAAGAGGAGACAATTGGGGCCATTAGAAAGTAGGCTGGGAGGACAGTACAGCCACCCACTGAGTCCGAGGTTATACTCCTGAGAACCAGCAAGACAAGGCTAACTTCAAGCTCAGAGAAGGGCAGCTGGCCAGGTGAATCACAGGGACGGCCTATTGTACACAAGGCCTAGAGCCACATGGTGGGTGCCATTACAGCAGGTGATCATGTGAAGAGGCCCTGCCCAGGCCATCCAGTTAACCATTCTGAATGCCACTAGCCTCCGTCAAGGAGAGTGGGTCCTGAGGCTGGGTGTTTGGGTGTGGGCCAAGGACACAGCAGAAAAGACCAAACACCCAAGACAAGCGGAAAACCACACACACAGACTGGAAACGTGCACCGCAAGGACAAGCCTTACTGACCTAGGACCCAAAGAGGAAAAGCAAATGGTCCTATATCACGTGCCACTTATAATTCAAAAAGCATCAAACACATGGCAGCCAGGGTAGGGAGCCAACGGGGTAGTGGCCTCAGCCCCACCCAGGCCAGGGCTGTGCCCCGTAGCTGCCCAGCCAAGGGATCGGATAGAATGTTGGATAACAAAGCCAACTCATAGAGACACCCTGGCAGAGGGGCCTCAAGGCTGTCATCTGACTCTGGAGTGCACAGGCATTTCCTCAACCCCTGGGGACACCCAGCCAGGTGGTGAGATTGCTGAGGCTCCCTGGGAGCTGGAGAACAGGATGGAGCCAGCGCTTTTTAGGGTAAGAGCAAGTCAAGGAGCAAAGAAACCGGAGAGGGGTCCTGGCCTTGGGGGAAGGGGTGGAGCCAGGGAGAGGGGCTCCGGGTGGTGATAAAGGTTGGGGAACTAGAGTATCCCACAAAAGTCCTAATGAGCAGCTAGTGTGTGAGAGTGGGAGAGGACAGAGCCAGACTCAGTAGCGTCTGAGTCGCTGCCGAGAATCTACCAGTAAGAGGTGAGGGCTGCCGGTCCCACTGGGCGGGGGGAGGGGATAAGTTCACTGCAGCTACTGAAGCAGGGACCGTGACGGAGCTTGGGGGAAGAGCGCCTGGAATACTCTGCAGCTGAAATCCAAATCGGGGCCTTAGTAGCTGGAGAACTGATAGTTCCAGAAGGGGAGTCAGTTTGCAACCCACCGTCTTGGAAAAACGCGCAGGGTGCAGAATCCTAACGTGAGGGTCCTAGGACTGCGTTTGAGTTTAGGTGGCTAAGGGCAGTGCCTGAGGCTGAGATGTATAAGGCTCCGCTGACTAAGAACCGGAAGCCTTAGATTGGGATCTGGAGACACAAGGCAGGCCAGGGTTGGGTTCCTAAACTGCCCAAGGTGCCCTGGGGCTAGGACTCCGGATGCGCAGGTGCATTGGCGCTGTCTCTAAATCTCTGCAACCCCAAAGCCTCACGAGGCTCGGAGTAGGAAGGAGTCTGGTTGGGGTCCCTAAATCTGAGGGTGCTCTTTGCAAAGTTGGAAGCCCTGGAGTTCCGCTTTGGGTGGAAGCTGGGATTGGGATGGGGGCAGGGTTAGGGTGGATGGGGCTAGGGTTAGGATGGAGTGGGATTCGAATCCAAGGGCATCCAAATGGGCTGCTGGAATTCCGATCTGGGTAGAGTTCAGATCTCAGCATTTCGGGTGGGCTGGGGTTCGGATCCGTGGGGGTTCGGATAGGTTGGGTCGAAGTGAGGTTCGAATAGGCTGGGGTTCTAATCCGTGGACTCCGGGTGGGTTAGGGTTCGAATCCGGGGTCTTGGAATGAGCCAGGGTTCGGACCGCCTGGGGTTCGGTCGGGGCGGGCCCGGCGCCGATCACTCATCAGACTGCAGGCCCTCTGCCCGTCCTACCTGGGGAGTAGAGCGCTGCCAACTCTCGGGCTCCGGCGTGCTGTGCGCCCCAGCGCCGGCCCTCCGCCGTCTCGTCCTCGTCCAGCTCCGGCTGCCGGCCCGGCGCGTCCTCGGCGCCCGCCATGGCCCGTCGCCCGGCCCGCCCGCTGCGCTCTGCCTGCGGCGGCGGCGGCCGCGGAACCGCGGCGAGATCACGCCGCCC